TGCCGGAAGGCGTCCGGGCCACCCTCTTTTCAGATGGCTCCTTTTCCTTAGTTACGTATTCTTTTTTTATTTTTATTTTTTGTATTTCAGGAAGATATGAGAGTACAAACATTTTGGTTACATTTTATATCTTTGCCTCTCCCTTGCAAAGGTTAGAGGTATGCCCTTCCTCTCCACAATGCTCACTGCATCCCTCAGGTGTGGGACTACCCGCCCCAACCCCCGAATCCCTGGTGAACACCACCGCCATTTGAGCACCATGGTGCTAATCAGTCAGTACCAATTTGATGGTGAGTACATGTGAAGCCCATTTTTCTGATCTTGTGTCACCTCACTTCAGATAATGGGCTCAAGCTCAATCCAGGAAAATATTGGTGGTGCTAGATCACTGTTGTTTCCTATAATTGAGTAATATTCCATTGTACACATATACCAAATTTCCACTCATGATTTGATGGGCACTTGGGTGGTTTCCACATCCTTGCAGTAGTGAATTTTGCTGCCATAAACATTTGGGTGCAGATATCTTTATTATAGAACATCTTATGCTCTTTTTGGTTGATCCCTAATAATGCTATTGCTGGATCGAATGGTATTTCTATTTTTAGCTCTTTGAGGTAATTATGTATTCTAATCTCACTTGCCACATTAGCTCCATTCTCCAATCACTGATGACAAAAGGTTTCTACTGCTTTGCCTGGTCCAACATCACCTTCCAAGCCTCCACTCTAAATCATCTTCCAGCTCAATCTCCCAAAAAACATCTGCTGTTTTTTGTTTTTTTTTAATTTTTAAATTAAACTTTTTATTTCGAGATTACTGTAGATTTGTTCACATGCAGTTGTAGGAAACAATACAGACAGATCCTATGTACCCTTCATCCAGCTTCCCCATTGGTAACACCTTGCAAAACTGATGGTAGTGTATTATCATAATCAGGGTATTGATACTGTCAATAAACAGAACAGTTTTATCACCACAAGAATCCCTCGTGTTGCCCTTTTATAGCCGCACTCAGTTTCTCTCTCTCTCCCCCTTCCTTATCCCTGGCAACCACGAAGCCGTTCTCTATTATTATAACTTTGTCATTTCAAGAGTGTTGTGTAAATGTAATCATACAGACTATAACCTCCTGGAATTGGCTTTTTCACTCAGCATAATTCTCTGGAGATTCACACAGGATTTTTCGTGTATCAATAGCTCCTTTTTATTGCTGAGTAGTATTCTGTGTTATGGCTATAGCACAGTTTGTTTAACCATTTACTTGTTGAAGGGTATGTGGATAGTTTCCCCTCTCTTTGCTATTACAAATGAAGCTGCTATAAACATTCATGTCAAGGGAGTTCCTTTCTCTTTCTGTTTTTGAGAGATTTTATCATGATGGCTATTGAAGTTTGTCAAATGCTTTCTCTGCATAAATTAACATGATCTTGTGATTTTTTTTCTTTAGCCTGTTAGTAAGGTGGATTGACTGATTTTTTTTTTATTTCAGTATATTATGGGGATACAAATTTTAAGGTTTCAAATAATGCCGTTGCCCCCCCCTTCCCCCACAAGTCTGAGCTTCAGTCCTTGCATCCCTGGAGTAATTGCAATTTATTCATGGTGTATAATTCTTTTTGTATTGCTGAATTTTATTTACTAATATTTGGTTAAAAATTTTTGTGTTGATATTCATGAAGGATATTGGTCTGTAATGGGGTTTTTTTGGCATTGTTTTGTCTGATTTTGGTATCAGGGTAATGCTAGTTTTATAAAATGAATTGAGAAGTGTTTTCCTTCTCTTCTGTTTTCTGAAAGAGATTGCATAGTATTGATGTTAATTCTTTAAACATTTGGTAGAATTCTGTAGTGAAGCCACTTGGGGCTAAAGATTTCTATTTGGGGAAGTTTTGAAATTAAGAATTCAATTTACTTAGTAGCTATAGGGCTATAAAATTAATTATCTATTTTACATTGGGTGGTAACTTGTGTTTTTCAAGGACTTGGTCAATTTCACCTAAATTGTCAAATTTATATGTGTAAAATTGTTCATAGCAGTTCCTTATTATCCTTTTGGTGTCTGCAAGCTTTTAATAATATCCTAGATTGAGTTCAAGATGTTGATAATTTGTATCTTTTCTCTCTCTTTTTGTCCATCTTGGTAGAAGTTTGTCAATTTTTTAAAATCCTTTTAAAGAACCAGCTCTTTCATGGAATTTCTGTGTCTTTTTTTCTATTCAATTCCTTTGATTTCTGCTCTTTATTATTTCATTCCTTCTGCTTGCTTGGATTTATTTTGCTCTTCTTTTTCTAGGTTCTTTTTTTTTTTTTTTTTGAGACAGAGTCTCACTTTGTTGCCCAGGCTAGAGTGCTGTGGCGTCAGCCTAGCTCACAGCAACCTCAAACTCCTGGGCTCCAGTGATCCTTCTGCCTCAGCCTCCCGAGTAGCTGGGACTACAGGCATGCGCCACCATGCCCGGCTAATTTTTTATATATATATCAGTTGGCCAATTAATTTCTTTGTATTTATAGTAGAGACGGGGTCTCACTCTTGCTCAGGCTGGTTTTGAACTCCTGACCTTGAGCAATCCGCCCGCCTCGGCCTCCCAAGAGCTAGGATTACAGGCGTGAGCCACAGCGCCCGGCCCTTTTTCTAGGTTCTTGACATGAAAGCTTTGATTATTGACTTGAGACTTTTCCTCATTTCTTATGTATGCCTTTAATACTATAAATTTCCCTCTCAGCATTGCTTTTGCTGCATCACACAAATTTTGACATATTCTATTTTCATTTTAATTCAGTTAATGTATCTTTTTATATCCCTCGAGACTTCCTCTTTGACCATAGATTATTTAAAAGTAAGCAGCTTAGTTTGGAGATTTTCTTATTATCTTTCTGTTACTGATTTCTAGTTTGATTCCATTGTGATTGTGAGAGTATACTCTGTATGATTTTAAGTTTTAAAAATTTGTTGAGGTTTGTTTTACAGGCTAGGATGTGGTATGTCTTGCTAAATGTTCCAGGGTACTTGAAAATAATGTGTAGTCTGATGTTGTTCAGTGGTGTGGTCTATAAATGTGTATCAGAGCCTGTAGGTTAACGGTGTTGAATTTTTCTGTATCGTTATTGATGTTCTCTAATTGTCCTACCCATTGTTGAGAAAGGAATGTTGAAGTCTCCACCTGTAATTGTGGGTTTCTTTATTTCTCCTTTCAGTTCTATCAGTTTTGTTTCATATAATTTGTATCTTTGTTGGTTAGTGCAAACATATGTAGATTACTATATCTTCTTGGTGGATTGACCCTTTTCTGATTATATAGTGTCTATCTGGAAATTTTCTTTGCTCTGAAGTCTATTTTACATGATAAAAGATAGCCACTTGTTATCTTTGATTAATACTTCCATAACATATCTTTTTTCATCCTTTTTATTTTAACTTGCCTATATCTTTATATTTGAAGTGAATTTATTGTAACTAGTATAGTTATGTCATGTTTTTAAATTTCCTCTGCCAATATATGTATTTTAATTGGTATATTTAGGTATTTATATTTAATGTATTTATTGGTTTGTAGGACTTAAGTTTTCTATTTTATTTTTTGCCTTCTTTGTATTTTCTCTGTTTTCTGTTTCTTAATTTTGTTTTCCTGCCTTTTTGTGGTTTACTTGAACATTTTTTTAGATTTTAGGCACTTAGATTTATAGTGCCTTTTTAGTATATCTCTTTGAATAGCTTTTTGTAATTACTGTAGGTATTACATTATATATACATAACTTGTCACAGTCTGCTGGTGTCATTGTTTTACCAGTTCCAGTGAAGTATAGAAAACTTCCTTTTTAAAAATTCTTTCAATTTATAATATACATGTTTTAAATATTTCCTCTATATACATTTAGCACATTATCAGGCAGTGTTATAATTTTTGCTTTCACTGTCAAATATAACAACTCAAGAGAAGAAGGAAGTCTGTTGTATTTACCCATATTTTTGCTTACTGTGTTTTTTTTCCCCTTTCTATTGTTTCAGGGTTCCTTCTATCTTTTCCATTTGTAGAGGATTTTCTTTCACTATTTTTTTCAGTGTGGATCTGCTAGCAACAAATTCTTAGTTTTCTTTCCTCTGAGAATGTCTTGTTTCTCCTTCATATTTTAAAAATATATTTGCTTCACAAAAGATTCTGGGTTGATAGTTCTTTTCTTTCAGCACTCTGAAAGTGTTGTGCCATTTTCTTCTGGCATCTGTGATTTCTGATGAGAAATCCACTGTCATTTGAATTGTTTTTCCCTGTAGATACGGTGTTACTTCTCTCTGATTTTTCTTAGAACTTTGCTATGCTATCTTGGTGTGGGATATCTTTGGATTTTTCCTCTTTAAGGCTTACTCAGCTTTCAGGTTTATGTCTTCTGCCAAATTCAAAAAAATTTCTGCTAATCTTTCTTGAATACTTTTTCAGACTTACTCTTTTTCTCTACTTCCTAGACTCTAATGACATGAATATTACTAGATCTTTTGGTTCTATGGGTCCCAGAGACCCTGTTATTATTATTTTTTTTTAGTATATTTTTTCTCTGTTCAGATTGGATGACTTCTATTCTTCTATCCTCCAGTTCATGATTCTTTCCTCTGTCCTCTCCATTCTGTGGTTCAGCCCATTCTCTGAATTTTAATTTTGATTATTGTAGTTTTTAGTTCTAAAATTTCCACTTAGTTCTTTTTTATAGTGTCTACTTCTTTACTAAGGCTATTTTTCATTTGTTTGAAGTGTGCCTGTGCCAGTATTAGCTCCTTGGAGTATTTTTTATGATGGCTGTTTTAAAATCATTGTCAGATAATTCTAACATATCTGTCATCAGAGCATTGATGTCTATTGATTATCTCTTTTCATTCAGTTTGAGATCTTGTTTTTGTGTATGATGATCTTCAATTGAATTCTAACATTTGTGTGTTTTCTTATGAGATTCTGGACCTTATTTGAACATTCTGTTTTAGTTGGCTTTTTCTGACGCTGTTTTTGCAGGGGAAGGGGGAACACTGTTTGTCACCGCTATGTGGGAATTGAAATCCAGGTTTCTTACTTGGCCACTACTGACATCTGCTCCTCATTACTGCAGGTAAGGATCCCTCATTACTGGTGAGTGGGGGTAGGATTTCTGGCTCCCCTCTAAGTCTGCACTGATTCCTCCTGGGCTGGAGAGATAGAGTGCCTCCTTACTGCTCCTCCCATGGCCTCCTCTGTCACCGTGGGGAAAGGTGGCCTCATTACAGGCACTGGCGAACATCTCGACTATCTGGTATATCTCCTCTAACGCCACCCCGTAAGGGGAGAGGAAAGACGCCTTGTTCCTGCCAGATGGGGGTAAAAGTCCAGGTTCCCCACATGGTTTACACTGACACTGAGGTAAGGTAGCTTGTTATCACCCAGCAGGGATAAATGTCCTGGCTACCTACTCAGGCTTCCCTGACACCACCTTGGAGGCTCTGTTGGTGCTTCAGTGCAGCATGGCAAGAGTGACAGTCTAGGCTCTCCACTAAGCCTTTACTGGGTGGGACCATAGTTTATTCTGTGGTGCCTGATTTGTATAGGGTGGTTATTATCTAAGAGTTTTCTATCTTCCTAGGCTGCCACTGTTCTGATCCTTTGGCTAGAGAGAGCCTTTTATCTGGGCTTTTCTTATCTGTTCCTTTGGTGTTTCCCAGTTGCTATCTTCCGAAAGACCCAGTCTGGGATATATGAGGTCAAAAGAAAACCTAGGGAAATCACCACTGTGTTGTTTATTTGGGTGGTCTTTCTTCTCTCTGCTTTTAAGAGTTGTTTTATTATTATTATTTTTTAAATATATATAATATCACAGGTTTTACTTGTACTTAGTGGGAGAAATAGGATAAATCTGTCTACTCTGTATTCTTGGAATTGGAAGTTCCTTTGCTGGAGTTTTTGAAGATTATCTCAGAATTGTGGGCAGAAACCATCCAGACAGCCCATTTGGGCTCAATTGTCCATGTCTATTTGCCTATAGGAGGACAGTAGTGCCATTGCTTGCTACCAACTCAGCTGGAATGGTTGAAACAGAATCTTTAAAAAGGGAATTTGAATGAGCTGGTATTCTAGGAGATGGTTACAATATAGACCCTTAAGGTTTCAAAGAACTATTACTTTATTCCTGAGTGTGTTCCTTTTATGAGAAAAGATGAAAATTTTTCAGTTTAGAAATACCCAGGCAAGTTGAAAACTGTATGTAAATGAACAAATTAACTATGAAAAGAGATGAGAAAATTGAATGGATATTTCTTTCAGAATTTATGAGATAAATTTTAAATAATAAATAGTATTTATAATAGCCTTTAATAATAAATGAGGAAGAAATACCCATAACATGAATTTACAAAGATAACTAGAAATTATCAAATTCCATATGCATTACTTAAACACATCAGTTCCAAGATGCAATCTGTAAATCATAGCCTACTCAGTCATAAGATGTTCATTACATATTCTTGACAAATTTTAACTGTCATTTTCCTGTCAGAAGTTTGACATTCTCTTCAGTGTTTGCTGTGCCATTTAGTAGTATTTAAAAGTCAGTTAGATTCCTGCAAACATAATTAGGTTAGAGATGTTCTGTCTATGGTAAAAACTCTCTAATTGAAGAGAAGGATGTTTTCTGTAACTTATTTCCAATTCTAGTTACCCTGACAGTTTCTCATTTTTTACCCAGTTTTTCTTAAACAGCTTCTGGCATTTTTCTCAGTCATTAACTATTTATTAAGTGCCTACCATTATTACCCAGGCAGTGCTCTAGATTCTAGGTATACAGACATGAGTAGAGTGGAATTATGTTTGTCCCTTACAGGGCTTCCAGTCTATTTGGGAAGACATACCATAAACAAATATACAAGATAATATATAATACTTAACCAGGTGATGGTGAGTACTCAGAAGAACAATGGTGCAGTGCAAAAGGATTAAGGGTACTTGGTGCAGTGGCTCACATCTGTACTTTAGGGAGTCAAAGCAGGAGGATTGCTTGAGGTCAGGAGCTCAGAATCAGCCTGGGCAACATAGAGAGATGCTGTCTCTACTAAAAAGAAAAAATTTAGCCAGGTGTGGTGGTGTGCACCTGCAGTCATAGCTACTCTGGAGGCTGAGGCAGGAGGATCACATGAGCCCAAAAGTTTGAGTCTGCAGTGAGCTATGATCACACCTCTGTACTTCAGCCTGGGTGACAGAGTGACCCTGTCTCTAAAAATGAAATAAAATAAAATAAAAATTAAGAAAAGAGAATTGAGGGTGATGGATAGTGAGGGATGAGGTGTACAAGGAGTCTTTAAAAGGGTGATAGAAAATGTATATTATGAAAAAAACATACATGATTTTCAAAATTCTTTTGCACCAAAATAAACTCATACTAGCTTGTTATAACATGTCTGAACAGGATCTGGTTTGAGGCACTAAGGAGGATAAGACATCAGTTTGAAAAGAGCCCCAATCAGAGCAAAATGAATTCTGCTAAAATTGAAGCAAGAACAAACATCAAATTTTGTGTAGAAGAAGGGTTAAATCATTGATGTTTTATGAAAAGTTTATAGGGGATAAAGTCTCAAAGAAATCAGCAGTTTAAAAATGGATAATTTGTTTAAGAGAGGACAAGGTGTTGTTGAAGATGAAGCCTGCAGTGGCAGACCTGCCATATCAACTTATGAGGAAAAAATTAATCCTGTTTGTGCCCTAATTGAAGAAGACTGACCTTTAACAGAAGAAACAACAGCCAACATCATAGACATCTCATTTGATTCGGCTTACACAATTTTGACTGAAAATTAAAGTTGAGTAAACTTTCCACTTGATGGGTGCCAAAACTGTTGCACTCAGATCAGCTGCAGATAAAAGCAGCACTTTCAATGGAAATTTTAAACAGATGGGATCAGGATCCTGAAACATTTCTTCAAAGAATTGTAATAGGAGATGAAACATGACTTTACTTGTATGATCCTGAAGACAAAGCACAATCAAAGCAATGGCTACCAAAGGAGAAAGTGGTCCAGTCAGAGTAAAAATGAACTGGGTCAAGAGAAAAGGGCATGCCAAGAGTTTTTTTTTTTTTTTTTTTTTTGGATACTCAAGGCATTTTGCTTGGTCACTTTTTGCAGGACCAAAGAATGATAACGTCTGCTTATTAGTCAACCTGCAAGCTGGTAAGCATAGCCTCTAGCAGAAATTGAAAGCAAGCACTTCAAGGACTGGAAGGGTGAGGCAGGAATTTACACTGAATGGGTTAGCTAAGTATACATATTCAATGGGTTATAGGAGGAGTTATGAATATTCACAAAGTAGGGATGTGTGCATGTGCAGTAAGCAAACATGCATGTTACATATGTCCCATGTTTACTTTGATGTGGAGACTTAACATTTAAATGCATTAAAATTAGGCTGTATACATCATAAGGTGAAATACAGGACCCAGGGGCATCCTATGTGCAGCTTCTGTAAACCAACCAGAGCCAGTCCCTAAGACCCTGGTCTCTTATCAAGAAGAAATGCTGGTTAGTTATTGTATAAATCAGCAGTGGAATAAGTCTTTTGAAAGGGGTGGTTTCTGTTTAAGTGAAAGCTAATGGTGATTAGTGAGGGAGGGGATATAAGAGCTGTGTCTGACATCTCATCCTGTCATGACTGGGAACTCAATTTTTAAGGTGTGCCCTCAGTAAAGAGGGGCTTCATTCAGTCAGTTGAGGGCTTAGGATTTTATTTCTCAGTTGTAAAGGTTGAATTAGTATAAGTAAACCACTCAATGTAGAGCATGGCATGTAGTAGACACTATATAAGTTTTAGCCACTTTGGAAAAAATTTTTATCCTGTGATACCATGGGCAGCTCTCAGGGTTGCTTCAACCAAGGAGAAAGATAGGCTTGAATAGGGAAGGAGTTTATTGTAAGGCAGATAAGTCAGGATGTATAAATTTGGTTTGTTGTCACTCACTGGGAATTTGAAGGGAAAAATGTGAAACATGATGTAGAATCTCTTGAATTATTTTCCAGAGAAATTCCCAAAGGGTAGATCATACCAGGTTCCTGGGCTGAGGGTACATTGGTGCTCTAATGAGCCATATTAATGAGCTGTGTATAGCCTTAGGGCCATGTTGGCACCCAGGAGCATGAGGATGCTCTATGTTGTAGCTTAACAATGGACTTCAACCCAGATGGGGAATTTTATTTCCCTCTTCAGTATAGCCATAGGTAAGAGGAAGATGAGAAGTGACAACCATGGTGTGGTATAATAAAAAATTTGATCTGTGTCTCTACAAAGCTCCTAGAACTCTTGGAATTTCCTGAGTAATAAGGGTGATAGGAAAATCTTTTGTTACTTGTAATAAGCATGTTTCAACTGGACTGAGCTTATGCTAATGAGGTGACTCTTGGTGGGTTACTAGATAGCTTCAGGATGGGGGCTGGTCACCAGAAAGATCAAGCCTTGATTATAAACTTGAAACTATCAACCCTACCCTTAACCTCCAGGGAGGGAGAAGGGCTGGATATTGAGTTCAATCTACAGTGGCCAATGTTTTAATCAATCATGCCTACACAATGAAACTTCCACAAAAAAAACCTCTAAAATACAAGGCTGGGGAGGATGCCAAGTAGGTGCACACATTGAAGTTCTGGGACAATGGTGAACCTGGGAAGTACTTTTTTTTTTTTTTTTTTTTTTGAGGCAGAGTCTCGCTTTGTTGCCTGGGCTAGGGTGCTGTGGCATCAGCCTAGCTCACAGCAACCTCAAACTCCTGGGCTCAAGCGATCCTCTTGCCTCAGCCTCCCTGGTAGCTGGGACCACAGGCATGCGCAACCATGGCTGGCTAATTTTTTCTATTTTTAGTAGAGACGGGGTCTCGCTCTTGCTCAGGCTGGTCTCAAACTCCTGAGCTCAAGCAATCCTCCCTCCTCGGTCTCCCAGAGTGCTAGGTGGGGTCTTGTTTTATAGTGTCTGGATTGGACCTTCCTCTTGGTTCAGATGTCACCACTGAACCACTTTGATGGACAGTTAATGACATGATAATTAGCCTGGGTTACTCTAGGTCACTTTTCAGATCCTACTGTGCTTGGGCTGCCTGGCCTG